GGAACAGGCTGGTGGAAATTTTTTTGCTTTATATTGGCTCTATGAAGGACTCCTACAACAGCTGTTTGTGATAATGTGTCAGCCTGATAATAAGTTAGTTATCAATCAGCTTTACTTCTTCATCAATGTTGCTACTATCTCAGCCAAAGCCTGAGTGTTTCCTGACAGGGAAGGGGATGCTAGCTTCCCTTTAACTGAAGTAGCATGTCCTAAATGTTCTGTTGGCTGGGATTGTTGGCACCCTACCCTCACTGCAGATCAGAAGAAGGAGCCATGGGCAAACGGGCCCGATGGATCTCTCATCCTGTTTCCACAGCCTCTGTGCAAAGTGTCACTGCGATGAGGTGGTGGAGAAAGATCTCTCTCACTGGGTTTGGCGACCCAGCAAAGGTGAAGGCAGTGAGATGCCTTCAAGAAGGCATCTTGACCTGGATGATGGAGAGCATGAATATCAGCTGGAGTTGTAAAGCTTGTTGGTGAACTCCAAAATCCTGCCATGCACATATATGCAGGCTTGAAGGCCAAGATGTCTCATGGATAAATGCACACCATGATCATCGCAGTTGATCACAAGCCACTTGCCATCAATAGGAGAGATGAGGTTCTGTTGTCCAGGGAGAAAGGCTATGTTGGCTGAGAGCACATCTGCTGCTCTTTGTAACAGCATTTGACAAAATAAACAAGGAGTTTAAAAAATAAGCAAAGCATGTGTTCCCTTCTCTTCAGAGCATGGAGACAGAGAGGGGGAATCTTTGGTTCTGTCATATGCATCACCACACTATACAGGCTGGGTATTTCTGGAGCTGTGGCCAGTCTAAAAAGGAAAAGCCCTGCAGTGGTAATTGCTCCCAGGGTACATTTTGGGTACTGCCAGTGGGCTCCTGGCATGTTCAGGAAAGTTGAGGGCTCTGACACAGTCTTGCTCATGATAGATGACAGAAGTTGGAGAATTGAAATATCCTACTCAGAACTGAACTGCTCTTAATCTTTAAAACAAGCAGGTACAGAACACGCAGACCCACTACTGGACTGCTCTCAGGCAAACTATGAGCCCACACAGAAAAAAATAGAGCGCGTGTGAAGACACGGGGGCCTAAAAACAGTCTAAGTCAGGGTGCTGCTAGCCATGAATAGGAGTCTGCATTTTACTGAAATGGTCTCATCTGAAGCTCTACCCTCTCTTCATCAGTCTGCTCCCCACCCCCACTTGAAGGCTTAGCAGCCATAGTTGCTTAGTGTAGTGTTTTCATTTTAGTAAGAACGATGCATGTTCCAAGGCCTTGAGTCACGTTAACTAAATCTCAGCTCCACTTCTGACATTTAATTAATTCTTGGTTCTTCAAATTAAAAAAAAAAAATAATCACAGGATCATCTTCTTGATCATCTGAATATACCTTTGTTTTGATCAGTTTTTCAAGGCAATAACAACGTAATCGCTTCAAACTTTAAATGGAGGAAACCAAACAACTTCCACTGGTAACCACTGAGCTCCTGAGCTAAATGCCTGGATATGGGAATGAACAGAGTTTGGGAATTAGTTCCACTTAATTCCCACTTATGGGAATTCCACTAAGCTGGGGAAAATCTTCCACTTGGGAGCTCAGTACAACGGAGTTCACGCAGTACTTCATTGTCACCTGGGTTGCTTACACCAGAAATAACATACTTCTCCTCCTGCCACCGCCTAAAAAAAACACCCTACCAAAAGTCAGACTCATTTGTTAATGACAGGAGGTGGCCCTTCCTTTACAGCACTCTAGGATTCGGGGTGGGAGGTGACACACACAAAATAGCCTGGAAGCCTGCAAAATGCAGCAAGAGACAACATCTCCCAAAAATCCCTGCTTGGGTAAAGACGTGAATGGTGAGACTGGGATGACAGTTGTAACTGCCTCTGCTGTTGACTTCAAAAAAGCTCTTGGGTTTTGAGCCTGTCACAATCATCAACAGCTAAAGCATTACGTTTGCTTTAGCGAAAGGCACTGCACAGCAGAGGCGATCTGATCACATGCGTTTCTAATAACGGAGCTGGCAATTAACCTTAGATTGCCATGTCTCTGCCCGTTGCCTCAACAGTGACTTTCCTTCCTGAAAGGCTCTGGTGGCTGTCAGGAGTCCCGAGCATGCACTCCTGCCCGCAGGGGCTGGCAAACACCTTCTCCCCAAGAGTAGCGCTACTGCAGGGAGCCGGAGGAGTAAAGTGTGGAGGAGCCAATGGGCCATAAACCCATCTGTTTATTTTGGTGATTACTTTAAGAGAGGATTTTACTAACTTCAGGGATAAAAACTACACGTGCTTGTCAGTCACCGTTCAGTGACCAAGTAACATAACTGTCAGTAAAATAAGCAGGACATTAGCAACTTTAAGCTATAAAGTTGCTATACTTCATTCTCTCCTTTTTAAGGCTCATTCAGAGGGCTGAAAAACAAACACCTTCACAATTACTATTTCTCTTCCTTTCTAGTAACTGCCCAGTAAGTTTTAACTCAAGGAGTATTCTGAACCTCGATCACATCTGTCATTAGCAGCAATACTTAAAGATAACAAGTCTGACACAGATGCATGCTGTGTGTTTCCACCAATGACCTGTATTAAAAAATTAGCATTAGTAAGCTCATTAATTTAAAAAATAGTTAGAAAATTGTTTTCAAATGTTAAAGTTACTTCTATTAAGTTACTACAATTTTTATTTTCTTGCAGCTGTATCCTAATTTACCACAGTGAATAGCTTTGAGATTTTGTGGTTTTGTCCTGTCCCTCACCCTTTCAACAGGGGTTTGCAATCCATCAGTCATTTTCAATCCACTTTCCGTAGCTGGTGCAGGAATGGCTGTAGCCAGCTCTTCAAGGCATTATGTCAGACTTCTTCCCCTGCATGTTTAACTATGAGCATTCTTCCCTCTGCTATTGCAGTCCCTCCCCTTTCAGGCCAATCGAGTGCTGCTCACAGCTTCCTTGTTTTATCCCCTGCCCCTGCCATGAAGACTCTGACTCTTGGTTAGCTCAGTTCCACCTCAACTTTTGCTAGATTATAAAAGCTCAAATGTGTTGGCCAGACTGCCTGCATATTGCCTCTTTCCCCAGTTTTCTGTTAACATCTGGCATACTCATTTTACATTTTGCACAGTGAAGCAGAAGTACTAGATCAGTTATCTACGCAGTGCAGATAGATACATCTAGCATTTCATACAGTTATTGGCTGGAATTGCTAACACTGTAGTTAAGCTGCTACTGAGATAATATCCTTAAATGCAGTAGCTTAAACCAACACCAATTAACACCAGAAGAGGATCTAATGCTGCAGTTTTCCCCAGATTTTTTAATTTACACAGTATCCTGCTGTTTCTCCTTTTTTCTCGTCAGTCACAATATTTGTGCATTTTGAAGGATGCCGTTATGCCCATGCTAACTTCTTTCCTACTGGTACAGAACAGCATTTTCTTCTTTCTCTACAACTGCTCTTTGCCAAAGAGTAAATTTTCGTCTGCATGCTTTTGTTTCCTAAACTCCCCAGCTGAACTATGACCTCGCAGCCAAAAGACCCCCTGCTTAGGTTGCAGTTCCTTTTCACAGGTCAGATAGGAAAGAACTCAACCGTGTATTAAAATAGGAGCTTGCTAAATCCTGGTTCGTGGCTGGCTCAGTTTCCCACTGCTGCTCCAAGGGCTTTAGGAGGCAACACCTCCTGCCTCAAAGAGAAGGAGCCTCCCTCTCCCCTTGCCCCTCCCCAGCACAGAGCCAGGGGAAAAATTTTTCTCTTCTGAATTAGAATTAGGTACCACTTAACTTCTGAGTTTAGATTTTGCAGTGAGGATGGGAAGCACTTCATTGTGCTAACTCAAGTTTTCTGGAGACTTCTTATATAAAGCTATTGAAATTAAATTAATGTCCTCCATAAAAGTTATCTTTATTGTTTCCTCCAGAAGAAAAAAGAAAAAAGAGGAATAGAGGAAAAAAAGGAAAGACAGTATACAGGTTTGTTTTCTTCTTGTAAGAGGCTAATCCACAGAGGGTAAAAGTTTAATTATCTTAGTGTAAATAGCATGTTTGTTTAGTGCTCTCAAGTATATTTCCAAATTAAATAAGTAGAGCAATATTGCTGTTTACACCTGGATTCCCAAACCTCCCCACACCAACCTGAGTTAACAACAGATCGCAAACTCTCTCAGACTAAGTACAGGGTGGAGGGAAAGGACTATTTTTGCTCAGTGAATGCCTTGAGACCAAAAAGTGCTTACAGCATAATATACTATAAATCATTTTGCAAAAAAAAAAAAAAAAATACATTGTGTCTCTGGTGTAGACAGAGGCAAGCAAGGAATATTACGCCATCACTCATCTTTTTACCAATAGGCAATTAGACCTAACACTGTATTTCCAACTAAGATGGTTTCCCTGAAATTATATACTGATATTTCTTTCAACTGAAAATGTCCAGTGAAATAGACAACCAGAACATGCCCTTAAAAAAAAAAAATACAACAGCAAAACTACAGACCATTACTACTTACAAATAATGTAAATTATTACTGCACCAATTGTAAGGAAATGTCCTAAATAGAAAAGCAAGATTTTTAACCAAGTACAAGGATTAGTTATTTACATAGCTTAGACTGCTTCTGAAGTATGATTTTATTTAGTTTCACACAGACAAAACAAAGATGGAAATCCTTCAACTTCACAGTGTATATAAATGATCTGAAGTCATTCTGCAGCTGAAACCTTACAAAGGCTACTGATATCACCCACCTTGCATAAGCAAAGCGTTCACCTACTGTTTAAATATCTGTTTTACAAACAGCACAATTAACAGTAGCACCGAAGGATACATTTACTCAAGAGCTGATGACAAGATTTTCCTGTATCTAAGTGAGATGTAATTACAACTTTGCTAAAACGAACCATTCTGTTCATAACAGAAGTTAAAGCAATCCCAAAACCTGGCATTAATCCTCTGAGACCCTGTAACAGAACACATCAGTTCTCAGATGTTTAACAGGTCATTCCTACCTGTGTACATAGTCATATACATACACATATATATGAAACAAAGAAAGGCTTGTTTACTGACTTAACAGATTCGCTATGAATTTCTTGCTTGGATTTGCTAGGAAAACCACCATGATTTATCAGTTTTACGCACCTCACACACTTACAGGGAAGACTGCCATTTTTGGACCACTTTCTCCCAAAGCAGTATTAAGCCCCAGATTCCTCTATAGCAGACTATGAATCACTTCTTTCATTGCCAGTTTCTTTTCTTCCTGGATCAAGAGAAGTGCCTTCAAATAAAATTTTGTTTCTCATTCCTTCTTTAAGCATTCTTTGACGGATCCTACGTTGGGCCAAATTGTACCTACAGTAAAACCTAGAGGAAAGGATGAAAAGAAAACATGATTCCCTGCTTTATATGAGTGACAGTACCAAATCAGGGTTATTCAGCCAGCTGAAAAGTTGAAACCACATATAACAATGCTAGCAAAATTCGTTAGAAAATGACGCATAATGAAAATACTAGGGTAACTGCTATTTCTTTAAGGCAAACATTATGCAGCCACTAAAGAGCAGGATACTACAAGTCCAATGGAAAATGCCTATTGCTATAATTTAGATCTTAATTTCATGACCATTTAGTATGCTGCATTTATAATTAGGACAGAAGGAATGGTACATGTGAAGGAAGAAAGAAAGAATTAAGAAAGATGGAAATAACTGGGTGGTTTGATCTCTTAGGATTCAACAATTAACAGCAAGTTTAAAAAAAAAATTAACATAAAAATTGAAAGGCATTGAACACTTTTCCTTTAAAAAAAAAAGAAATATTTTGTGGAGAAGGAAGAGGACGCTTTGCTAGGCAAGTTTCTTACAGAGTTCCTAAAACAGTGTGAAAGGTCACATGGGGATCATGTTGTACAAAGCAGCCAACATAGGTCTGTCAAAGTGCAAGAAGTGTTTTACATACCAGTATCCTAACATTGTGCAAATAAAGCCACCGACTGCAAAGTCACAAGATCTTCTAACTCTACCTGAAAGAAAAAAAAAAATCCTCAAAAAAAATAGAGAAAAAACCTTGGATGACTTCCCATTATTAATAAAACCTAACAGCAAATAGGAATTAATTTTTCCTTGCAAATAAATAGAGAAAAACTAGAAGGAATAAGTACTTACTAGTTGCTAAAAAATGTCCGAGACCCACAACTAAAGATCCCAGGGAGCCATAGAGCACTGATTCTCGTGCACATGGGACACTTTTAACATCAAGAAATCCTAGGAGTTTGAAGGACTGTAAGAAAAAAACCCCACACCATAAATTAAAATTTACTTTTGTAGAAGTCTGTGATGCCAACTCCATTGCTGTGATGCCAACTCCATTGTAAAACTGGCTTGTTACCTTAGCAGTCAAAAATAATCACTTGAGGATTTTCTACTTCCAGGGTTATATCTGAGCTAAAGTGAACATGCACAGCTGTATCAGGAATAGTGTTAACTATTGATACAGGCAACAGCATTTTGTACAAACCTGTTGCTCCATCCCTTCTGTTGAATACTATAGAAAAACTATTTCATTTTTTACTTTACATTCCCTCAAAAAAGGAATGGAGGAATCCACGATCTTTGTTCAAAACCAAAATATATCACAACAAACAGGTAACGTTACAGTCAATTATGCAGTTAGTTATGCCACATAATTTTAATATCTAAAAAGGCAAATGTGCTTATTAAAAAAGGTGAAATTATTGGAGAATGCACATGTAGTAGAAAACCTTACACTGAACATTTAATAAAAACATTTATAAACCAGTTATTTTTAACCTAATCCTATGTATAAGTAGGGGCTGTGCATAGAAATTCTTCTGTATAGAACACATAAGTTTTTAAATTAACCTACTGGTAAAAATCATTCAAACTGTTCATACCCTCACATCTATAACCTACCCTTGCTTATATCTAGCAATTTTCTAATTAATTTTCAAACGGTAATTAAATGTGGCATTCATAAACCCAACTGTAAACTGACAAAATGTTTTTCATTTCAGAGATGCCTACATTGGCTTCTGCATAACCCAAGTCTTCTAACTTGTGAATACAACTTGGATTTCCCACCTGACACACATCCTTGCAAATGCACACTGGCGCCACAAGCAGGAGTGGGAAACTACATACAAAAAGGCCTCAAGATGACTTGGGTTGGGGTTAAGGTGGCTGCACTAATGTAACATCTGCAGATCTTTCTGCTAGCAATTCTTTTGTTAGGGATGGTGTGAGAATTTGTCTTCATCCTATTCTGTTTAAATGCTTAGACCATTAAATACCACGTGTGCAACTGTATCAACTAAAATCTTGAAAGATGATTTTTTAAATGGTTTTATTTGTTTGTAAAGCTATTCTACTTGGACAAAGTAGATTTTGAAGATGGAGTGAGTGGAGGGGTGACAACTCTGTGAGACAAGTCATTGTGAAACATGTCTGACTGTGGTAATAGGGATGGCAAGCATCTGACAACAGCTGGATTTGTAGACAAATACGGAAATCCCCATCAATAATTTTATCTATGTTCTCTATGGGCGATGATCAGCTGTTTCCACATAATCCCTGCGTACAAATGAGACAAAAAGGATTTGGCCTATGTTGGTCTAATCTCCTAACGAGTAATTTAAAGTACTCTCATGTGGAAGAAGTCATTTGATATGCTGCTGTTGTTGGCTAAGAAGGTATGTATCCCTGCCCCATCCATGCAGCATGATGCACCCTTTTAAAATAGTATTTCACCTGTTGCTCTACTTGAAATCACTTGTTGTGACGCTAACCATTGCTAACTCCTAGCATTACGAAGGCTCAAGTGTCATGACAGTGTTTCACCCACAAAGAGAAAGCCCTGCACAGGAGTCCGTGGAAAAACGAACACAAGAACCCCACCCCACTTGGCCCTATAGGGCCTCAGTTCTGCCATCGCTTTCCGTGTATTGTTCCCTCATCATTTCCTCTGGAGCAAAACCAGCGGGGGTCACGACTGATCTGCCACAACCTCTCGTGTCCCCAGCGCTGGGCTCCCCCCTCTGGTTTCGCGGGCACTGACGCGCGTGGGCGCGGGGAGCCACACAGCTGCTGCTGCTCCTCCTCCCCGGGCCCGGTGGAGCTTCAGCGGAGCGGGCGGTGAAACGTTAAAACGCGTGGAAGGCTCCATGCACCGCCGGCCTCCCGCGTCCGTGCGGATAAGAGACCCGGCCACCCCCCACTCCGGGGGCCACCCCAGCGCCCACAGCGCGA